AAGTAATATTTTGGAAAAATTCTTTTATAAATTTTTGATAATATTTAGCAAGTTCAAGAAACGATTTAAGTTCTTTTACTATTTGTGATTGAGAAAATTTAATAATTTTCTGAATTATTAATAGATCAAGTAAAATATCATTTTTGTTTATTACATATTCTAATAAGAGTAATTTCTTTTTGATAAAGTTACATTTTGTTTTGTTAAGTTTTAATTCAATTTTTTTGATTCATTAAAAGACAAGTCATAAGTATTGTAGATATTCATCATTATTTATTTGGATGATATTTTAATCTATAGCAAGATCAAAGAAAAACATTTATAATATTTGAAGACAATATTAAAAGTATTACAAGAAAACAAATTATATGTCAAATTGAAAAAATATAAACTTATCAAATAGTATATTGAATATCTTAATGGAATCTCAATTGATTAATACAAAATTACTATAATAAAAAACTAACCAAAACCAATAAATATATTTGAGTTGAGATTATTCCTAGACTTAACAAGTTATTATCACAAATTTGTACAAGAATTTTTAGTAATAGTATCACTATTAACAAAACTTTTATATAAAGATCAAGAATATAATTGATAATAAATAGAACAACAAGCTTTTAAAACTTTGAAACAATATTTAATTACAATATTAATTTTAATATTACTTAATCCAAAATTACTTTTTACAGTAATAACTGATACTTCAAAAGTTATATTAAGTCAAAATTAAAATAAAGATAAATAATCAATTACTTATAAGTTAAGAATACTTACTATAGCTAAACAAAATTATTCAATTCATGAGAAAGAATTACTAGCAATTATATATATAATTAGACTTTGAAAATCATATTTGAAAGATTAAAAGTTCACTGTAATAACTGATTATGCTTTACTTAAATATATTAAAACTCAAGACAACTTATTCAAAAGACAAGTACACTAATTAGAAACTTTACAAACCAATAACTTTGATATAAAATACAAACTTAAAAAAGATAATATAATAGCAGATGCTTTATTTTGTTAAACACATCTTATCAATATTAGTACTATCAACACTGAATTAATTAGTAAAAATGAGCTAATTAAGAAATATAATAAAGATACATATTTTAAAAAATATTACAAGATGTAGAAAAAGCAACATCAAAAAAAATAAGCAAAAACTCATTATTTTAAATTAAAAGATAATAAAATTTATTTAAAGTATACTGTTATAATAGTAATATAAAAGTCACAATTTCAAAAATAATAAAAATATTCATATAACAATAAAATCTCCTAATATTATTTCACTTTTTTGATTTTTCACTTTTTATTTTTTATCTATATATATATATTTTTACTTTTTATTATTTTATTTTTTATTTTCACTTTTAATTTTTCACTTTTTATTTTTCACTTTTTCAAAATTTCACTTTTCACTTTTATATAAGTTATTTTACTTTTATAATTAGTTATTTCACTTTTATATATTTTTATAATTATTTATTTCACTTTTTGTAATTTTGAAAAATGTATAAATAGAGATGCTATCTGAGCCTTAACTTGACATGTTGTAATTGAAAATAAAAATCTCTTTTAACAAAAACTTTCTTCCAAATACTTCCTACTTCTTATATTTTCTTTATACACTTCAAATCTTGTATATAAATGATCTTATATTGTATTAAATTTATCAAATCACTGATAGCTTTATATCGTATTGAACTAAGCAAATCACTGTTATTGACTTTGGACTTTATATCATATTGTGCTAAATAAATTGCTGTTATTGGATTATTAAGCTTTATATTATATTATACTGAACAAATTGTTATATTGAAAATTATTGAAATTAAATTATAAGTATTTTTACTTTTTGTTATTTGAATTTTTAATTATTAATAAATATTCTTCACTTATAAGAAGAACAAAGTGAAAAAGTCTTTGTTATTGTTATTACTAATTATATTATCTTAATTCTAGAAAGCTTTACACAAGTATAGAATTACCTTTAAAATTATTTTTATTATTTCTTTATTCTCTTTCCTTCTTTGATTTTCACTCTTCTATAACTCTCTCACTTTATTATTATCTTTCAAGTAAACACAATTTCCATAGAAATTGGCATAGATCTTAGATATTCCTCTTCTTTTTTAATATTTTCTTTATTAGTTTATATCCACTCCCAATTCAGATTTTTATTTATAAACTAATTCCATGATTAGTGAACAAACTTATAACAAATATATCTAGACTTACCATTCCAAATAATAAAAATTAAAGATAAAAATTATATTTGAATATCATAATACTATTACAAGTTTGTTTACTAATTGTTAAATTAGCTTATAAATCTAAATCTAAATTGGGAGAGAATATAAACTAATAAAGAAAATATTAAAAGAAAAAAGAGGTATCTAAGATCTATATTAATTTTTATAGAAATTGTGTTTATTTAAAAAGGAATAATAATATAGAAGAGTTGTAAAAGAGTAAAGATTAAAGAGGAAAGAGGGTATAAAGAAATAATAAAGGAAATTGAAAGAGTAATTCTGTACTTGTATAAAGTTTTCTTTCACTTTGTTATTCTCATGAATGAGAAATATTTATTAACAATTAAAATTCAAATAACAAAAGTAAATACTTATAATTCAATTATAATAATTTCAATATTATAATTTGTTTAGCACAATATGATATAAAGCTCAATAATCCAATAATAATAATTTGTTTAGTACAATATGATTTAAAATTCAAAGTTAATAATAGTAATTTGTTTAGCACAATATGATATAAAGCCATTAGTAGTTTGATAAGTTTAATATGATATAAGACTATTTATATACAAGATTTAAAGTGTATAAAAAAAATATAAGAGACAAAAAGTATTTGAAAGAAGATTTTTGTTATGAGAGATTTTTATTTTCAGTTACAACATGTCAAGTTAAGATTTAGACAATATCTCTATTTATATATTTTTCAAAATTACAAAAAGTGAAATAAATAATTATAAAAATATATAAAAAGTAAAATAACTAATTATAAAAGTGAAATAACTTATTTAAAAGTAAAAAGTAAAATATCAAAAAAGTGAAATAATAAAAGTAAAAAATAAAAAGTGAAATAATAAAAAGTGAAATAATATATATAAAAATGAAAATAAAAAAGTGAAATATCAAAAAAGTGAAATAATAAAAGTAAAAAATAAAAAGTAAAATATTGAAAAAGTAAAATAATAAAAGTAAAAAAATAAAAAGTAAAATAATAAAAAGTGAAATAATAAAAAGGTAAAATAATAAAAAGTAAAATAATAAAAGTGAAATAATACTAGTGTTATAATATGACTTTACATATCATAATTTTTATTAATTATTTTATTCTATCATCTTATTGGTTATATTTATTACATAATTTATCTTTTATTTCTTTAATTTTATTGATTTATTATTTTTAGAAATATTAAGTTTCACATTTTAATTATTTAATACTCGTATCAATACTTTAATATAATACTGTTACCATAATAACAATAAATTCTTTAATTTTATAATTTTTTTTAATTTTTACATGAATATCTTATCTATAATTATTTCATTATACTTATTACATAATTCGTACTTTTATTTATATTAAAAATGTTAGAAATATTTTAGAAAATTCTTTTATGTTAATTAAAATGTTAGAAATATTTTATTGTGCAAAGTCATGTATAAACCATTTGTAATATTATTCAATATTATTTTAGTGCTTTATAAATATTAAGAAACATTGAACAATTAAATCTAATGTTGTACAATTAGAAAAAAAACATTTGGAGATATTAAACAATAGTTAGATAATTATTTTTAGACAAAAGAAATATTTGGGTTTTATTATATGTAATATTAACTTGTAATTAGTATAACTGTCAAAGTTATATATAAAGATGCTTTTAAAATCTCTTGGAATATTCATGCTCTAATCAATAACAAAAGGCTTTAACTAGTAACTTTAAACTTACTTGTTGTAATTCCTTCCACTTGATTAACTTTAAACCTTTCATAAAAATGACCTTTATTTCTTTTGTACCTAAAATAAATTGATAGTAGAAGATCTCTACTCTAAATATTCCATACCCTTTTGATTATATTTTGTTTTGTTAATCATATCAATAAATTCAACCTTTTGTGATAGCGCTTTTTGTAATAGCATATTTTGTAGTATCAGGTCATTGTAAGAAGACCTGAATAATATTTGAAAATATTTGTCTTGTTTTGTTAAAGCAAGTTAACCACTGCTAAGTTAACCTTTACTTTTTCCTTTTGATTATTAAAGTCTCTTTGTTATTATTTCTTCTTTTCTTTATCTTTAATCAGTGTTGATTTTCGTAAAAGTTATCACAGGAGATCTTTAGAATCTTTAGAGAACCTCTCTTTAGTAAATCATTTAGTCTTTGTTCAAACTCTTGTGTTATTCATTATTCTCTAATTACAATAATTAAAGAGTAGTCATAACATTTTGGTGCCCTCTCTGTGAATTTCAATATCTGTGGAAATTTCCTCCTTGAATAAACGAATCTCTGTTTTCCTTCATGAAAAATTTTGAATCATTTATCACGGTAAATGAACGAAGTATATATATTCACAGGAGAATTGATTAATAACCATTTGGAATAGTATCTTTCTGGTGAACCTTCATTTCGACAACCACAACCTTATTGTCCCATGTGTTACCCTCCTTTAGAAGAATTTACTTTGCCCTTCTGACGATTTTGAATTTGGATAGAAGTCACGGGACCAAATCTTATAACAATATTACTTGTCAAACATTCGACGAACTTGTCAACTACGATTACGGCAAAGTTCATCCAACCATAATTCGACAAAGAATAGTGCGCCTGTTAAACACCATTCTATTTGGAGAATATCTCGTGGTAAACGATCAAATTAGATTAATTATAACCGTCTATGAAAGATTTGTAAATTCACAAATCTACGAATGACACATTTATAACGACCAGGACTTGGATGATAACCACTTGGAGGATTACTATTCCAAAATTATTGACGTAGGAATTCAAACTGAGAAAAATGACGAAGAACAGGAATCTGAAAAACAATTGAAAAGATAAACCTAATCGAATTTAGTGATCCAGAGGGTCTCTTTCCACCATACGAAGAGGTAATATATGACGATGAAGACGAAGAAATAAATCAACCTCCAAAAAACCAACAAGAAGACATGGCGAACATAAAGAGTATAATAGCTGCAATGGATCAATTGATGACTGCATTGACCAACCAGAATGCCTGAGTAGTAAAAAAAATAATAATACCGATCAAGAAGTTTTGAGGAGAAGACCAGGATCTGGTGGCATGGCTTAAGAATTTCGAAGTAGTTACCGTGACCAATGGGATTACAGCAGAAAGAAGAATTTAGATTGTGTGTGAATATTTGGAAGGACCGCCAGCCATTTGGTTTGACGAACGAGCAGCTGACAATGCACTTAGTTTGATCGACTGGACCAACAATGCTCATAACAAACATGACTTCAAACATCACTTCACACTGAAGTTTCGAACCCATCAAAAGCTAGATAAATGGCAGAATGAGTTGGAAGATCTATAACAAATGGGAATGGTGGATGAGTATACTGACAAATTCTACGAACTGTTACGGAAAGCAGATCCAGAAAATCATATATATAACGAAAGTCATGTCAGAACTTACTGTCGTGGACTAAAACCAGAATTGCGAAAGTGAATAAAAATAAATTCTGACAGTACATTGTTAAATATCATTGAAGTAGCCAAGAAAGTCAAAGAGACCGAGTATGAACCAGTGACAAGATCATATCATCAATCAAATAGCTCCTCCAATCTCCAGCTCAATGAACTGATGACAGCTCTCCATGTACTAATCCGTAGAGTTAGAACATTTAGAAATGCTGCAGAATCATCAGACTATGAGCTGGAATGATTATCTGACAAGAAATTGGCAAAATAATAGAAGATCGCTCACCTATTATAACTGTGGAGAGGAAGGACACATTAGCACCAGATATCCCAAGTCATATTCACTGAATAATTATCAGAATAATCACAGACATAATTGGTGAGATCAAAATAATGCGAATACCAAAAATTTGCATTAGCAAAACAATATCAGACCAAATGCATCAAATAGATCAGTGAATAATAGACAAACAAACAACAATACCAATACGGCGTTGTTGATGCAGATTCAACAGCTCACCGATGCATTACAAAATGGAACAACTAGCAATAATTCTCTCTTAGCTACTCATGAATATCTGGCAGGTGAAAGAAAGGCTAAGACCACCACTTGGCATAATCCACTCGGTAACTGACCAATGATTCGTAGTCAAAAAGAAATTAGAGAAGAAGAAATTAATGTTACAATTGTAACATAAAAATCGTTAATTCCAAAAATAGTCGAAAAACATAAAATATTTAAAAATATTCATATAA